TTTGATAACCACTTACCATCTAATCCTTTATTGTCTTTTTGGTCATTGCATCCTGTAATTTTTCCAAAAATGACAAGAAAAACACCTATCATGAATGCTCCAAATATATTCACTGATGGGTCAAATAATGGTACAGCAGCAGTAGTTACCCCTGATCAAACTTTTACATTTTTAGTACCCAAACAATCAGCTCAAAAGGTAGAGCTTAATGCAGTTTTACAAGCTTTTGTGATGTTTAAAGATTCTGTATTTAATTTATTTTCTGATAGTCAGTATGTAGTTAATGCTATAGTATCTCTTGAAGATGCTGGTAGGATTTCCCCTTCTTCGACTGTTTTCTCTTTGCTTTCCACTATACAAAGTCTAATCTGGGACAGAAAAGATCCATTCTTTATAGGACATATCAGGGCACATACAGGATTGCCTGGAGCCCTTAGTTTGGGCAATGATTTAGCAGATAAAACTACATATGACATACATATTTTCTCTACACTAGAAGAAGCTATAAATTTTCATAAAAAGTTCCATGTCAATGCTAATACTTTACAAAAGCGTTTTAAAATAACTAAGGAACAAGCTAGACAAATAATAAAACAATGTCAAAATTGTGTGACCTTTTTACCACAAGTTAATCTTGGAGTCAATCCTAGAGGATTGATACCTAACCATATTTGGCAGATGGACGTCACACACTTGCCAGAATTTGGAAAATTAAAATATTTGCATGTTACAGTTGATACTTCTTCTGGATTTTTGATGGGCTCCCTTCATGCCGGAGAAAAAACTAAAGATGTTATAGCTCATTGCTTACAAAATTTTGCCACTGTGGGTGTTCCAAAACAGTTAAAAACAGATAATGCCCCTGGTTATACTTCTACCTCTTTTAAACAATTTTGCTCAACATTTGGCATTACTCATATAACAGGAATCCCATACAATCCACAGGGACAAGGCATAGTTGAAAGAGCTCATCAAACTATTAAAATGTACTTATTAAAGCAAAAAGAAGGAATTGGGAAGGGGTATATATTCCCCAAAGATAAACTTAAAATAACCCTTTTTACTCTAAACTTTTAAAATTTGGATTCATCAGGACTTAGTGCTGCGGAAAGGCATATGTGTCCAAAAAATGTACATAAGCCCAAGGTACTTTGGAAGGATATTCTAACAGGACAATGGAAAGGTCCTGACCCAGTAATTGTCTGGAGTCGGGGGTCTGTTTGTGTGTTTCCACAGGGAGAACAGCAGCCGATTTGGATTCCAGAGAGATTAACCAAGGTCCTGACCCAGTGATTGTCTGGAGTCGGGGGTCTGTTTATGTGTTTCCACAGGGAGAACAGCAGCCGATTTGGATTCCAGAAAGATTAACTAAAGCGATTTCTACAGACCAAAAAGAAGATGATTTGGCTCAAATCCATAACAACTGATATCCAAAACTCCAGTTTGGCTATTCTTACATCTGCAACAGAACCAGGATGCTTTTTTCAATATCTATTTTATTATTGCCCTTTGCCATATCATGAAGTTCTATTTTGTTTTTTGAGCTCATACAGACCTAGGTTAATGTTTTGCTGATCAGTTCTATTTTTTGACTATAGAGTTTTTAAACATTGCAATGGAGATTTCACCTGTAAAAAGTTATAAGGCCTTTACTATAATGTTATGTGTTGTATGTATTATATTATGTGTGCACACTTGTGTTTTGTGTTATATGTTTGAATGTACGTATGTCCATATATCATATATGATGAGCGCTCATGATAAAATGGATCCAAATATTTTTTTTTTCACGTGATTTATATGGTTTAATTTAAATTGGGTAAACAACTGTTAAGGATTGTTTTAATATGTAAACAAAAAAGAAGGTTAACAGATCTGTTTGTTTACTTTCACCTTTCCTTTTCATTATATTTAATAATTCTCTTAAAGATAATGTAAATTGTTAAGAAAATTGTTTTCTTTTAGTGCCTTCTGTAGTGTTACATAATTTTTTCTTTAGCCATTATTGCCAGAATTCCTATCTTCATCCCAGTGCTGGTGAAGTCAAAGATAAAACCAATCTACAGCTTCTACAATAGCCATCACTGAACTGCTTGCAGAACTTGCCTGGACACATTGTGAGCTCACCTGTATGCATTGTGAACTATCTGTTGGTGCAGCGAATTGTGGTAGTGCTGGAGTATTTTTGCTGATGGTGTCACCGGTGGTACAATTTTTCAAAGGAGCCCTCAATTGGCTTAATGTCATGGCATTTTGCATCCTCCTCTACTAGTGATGGTCTAAAATTTGGGGGCCAACAGAGGTGAGGCAAAGAACCTCACCCCCCCACAGGTGCAAAGGCCTATCCACAAGTATGGCTGTATGCTGGACCGGTAGTCAGTGACGGGTATGATCCAATTGCAGTGGTACCAACCTAAGACAGGAGGCTGACGCCTAGAGGTCAGTTCATCCGATGACGGGTAAGGACCATATGTTGAATTGGACTGCCTAACAGGCACGGTCCCTAAGCCACATGCTTGTTGTTTAAACAGAGAGGGGGAGATGTTGAGAGCCACAGCCAAAGGGGCCCCAGCAAACTTCCAGCTGCCAGCAAACTTCCAGCTGCTGGCTGATGATTGGCTCACAGCGGCCCCAGCAACATATAGCTGATTGGCTCCTCGGCCCCAGCAACATCTAGCTGATTGGCTCCTCTGCGGTGATGCTCATTGGGCTGTTTCCCTGCCCTTTCAGACCACGGAGCTGCTCATTGGGGGACTTTTTTGGCTCCGCCCACGTGACCCAGCCAATCAGCCTCAAGAGCAGGAGGATTGTGGGAGGTGGGGAGAAGCTTGTGTGGGAGAGAGAGGCTTGTGGAAAGCCGGTGGTGGCAGTTGAGGCTCTGAGGGTTTTTCCTGAGAGGCTATTTTGTTTGGCGTGTGTGGTTCTAAAAATAAAGTTAGTTTCTTTTGACAAGTGGCTCCTGATTGTGCCCAGCCAGACTGCGGCATATATATATATATATATATATATATATATATATATATAAAATCTGAGGGATGAAATCTACCAAGAAAAATAAAAGAACATGTACTACAAAATGATTTAAATTGCTAATGTTATTTCTTTTGAAGAGTTGTAAACACTACAACAAAAAAGGAAACAAAAGAGAAAGAAAGTTTGCTGAGGAAAGAAAGAATGGAGTACCAAAAAAAAAAAGAAAAGAAAAAAGAGAGAGATTGCTTTTCCAAGATTTAAAAGGAGCAATCATCAGCAAAGGATGAATCAGCTGGAGATAAGTTTAGAGGTGAGTAGGGGTCAGGTTTTTCCAGGGCCCTGAAGATTTTTAGTAAGGTTGATAGATTTTATTTTTCACTGGAAGTCACTCAAGGGTTTTAAGCATAGGAAGGTTTACAGGGTAATTCTGGTTGCATGTGGAAATTGTACTGGAAGGGGAAGGATGGGCAAGAGATGATGGTGTCTTAGATTGGGGCATCAGCCACAGAAGTGGAAAGAAATGTTGACGTTCAGATACATGCAGTTGGAGCTAGAGTCTGTCCCTTCATTGCTCCTCCCTGATGGGTCTTCTAATGTGCACACTTTGGTCAGTCTCATTCTTAAGCTAATCATCTTGGAAACAAGAACTTCATCTGTTTAACCCTCTAAATGATGGGCTAATGGGCAAAGAGATGACTCTGTCCTGATCTGTTGTACTTTCCATAACCTAGTCCTGTCCTTGGAGCCCCATTGCTGACCACTAGAGGATGTGCATTGATCTCTTGATGGAAGCTCTCTCCTCTTTGGGCTTTGGATCTCATATATGGAACCAGTATCCAAGCACCCAGACCAGATTTTTCCTCTCCACCTTTAGCCATAGACCTGTTTCTGTTTTAGTCCCTATTAGAAATACTGATCCTTGCCAGATGTGGTGGTGCATGCCTATAATCCCAGCAGCTTTGAAGGCTGAGGCAGCAGGAGCATGAGTTCAAAGCCAGCCTCAGCAACTTAGTGAGGCCCTAAGCAAATCAGTGAGACCTGCTTCTAAATAGAATAAAAGGGCTGGGATGTTGCTCAGTGATTAAGCACCCCTGTGTTCAATCACTTTTACCTGCCCTCCCCCAAAAGATACAGATCCTAGAGAATTGTGACAGTATTAGAGACATAGCTGTATCACCACCAGGACTTGTCCAATAAACATTTGCTGAATGAATGAAAAAAATTAACCCTGGGGGAGAAAGAGCAATCCCTGTTTTGTAAGAGGGAAATTGAGGTTCATAGCAACTTTGGCTAAAAAGATATCACCAGTAAGTTGTACAGTCACAATGCAAGCTCAGGTTTCTATCTCTGACTTCAGGTTGCATTAAAGTTTGAAGATATAGCATTTGTAAAGAAAAGCCAAATAAAGCAGTTAACTGTGTAAGTTTCACTCCTATAAAAAATAAATATGCAAATACCCTTAGTATTTCCTCATTCATGAGATACTTTGAGGAGTAAGTTGTGCTAGTTATAATTTGCTACTTCCAAATCTTACTTCTGTTGATCTTTAGTCCTGATAAACGTATCTCATACCCCTTTGATACTCATTTTAATCTGATTTTATAAAATGTGCCACCTTAAATGTCCAATTAGTCATTTTAATAATCAAGATCATACTTTTAAAAAGGTATTTATATATAAAACATGAACACCAAAAATCTTAAAAGATTCTGATATTGCAAATAGAGAAACACTGTTTATAGTTTGATTAAATAAGAAGTCAAAAGGTAAAATGTGCTTTCAAAGCTTTAAAATTTTAAACTGTTGTCCTTATGATCAAAATGACATTATTAAGCTAACATTATAATCAATACAATAGGAACCCTCTTCTCTCACATATACAAAGAACTTATGTGAATTATAAATCAATTACAAGCTTTGAAGAAGATAATTTCCTAGGATGTATTTCACCATAATTCACAATTTTTCATGGCATGCATGTACATTTTTAATAACTACATGAAGCTAGCTCTAAGTTTTATACTCACCCTTTCATGATACTTCTGGTTCTTTTCCCTAAGCTTCTTTATTTGAAACATGAGTCTTTCTACTGCATTTTCCTTTATTTGACAGCTGATAATAAACAAAAATAAGATGTGTTATAAGTATTTATCTTAGGAAAAAGTAATGAATAATTTTAAAATCAAACTAAACTATTTGAATTTGAGTAAATTATTAAATATATTACAAATGCCCACTTAGGGCTGGGTGCAGTGGCACATGCCTGTAATCCCAGTGACATCCAGGCTGAGGCAGGAAGATCACAAGCTTGATGCCAGTCCCAGCAATTTAGCAAAGCCCCAAGTAATTTAGCAAGGCTCTGCCTCAAAATAAAAAATAAAAAGGACTGGAGATGTAGCTCAGTAGTAAAGTGCCCCTGGGTTCAATCCCTGGTATTTAAAAAAAAAAAAAAAGCCCATTTAGGGAAAAGAACGTTTCCTAAATGATTTTGGATTTTGAATCTATTTAATTCTTTAATTTCAAGTTTTTTTTTAAAGAATTAATTACTGGTCATATTTCATGGATCTAATTTTGTTGTTGTTGTTTTGAATACTAGGGATTGAACTCAGGGGCACTTGACCACTAAGCCACAACCCCAGACCTATATTGTATTTTATTTAGAGACAGGGTCTGACCGAGTTGCTTAGTGCCTGGCTTTGAACTCTGATTCTCCTGTCTCAGCCTCCCTAGCTGCTGGGGTTACAGGTGTGTGCCACCATGCCCAGCTTTATGGATATAATTTCTATACTTTCTAATTATCTATAAATAATTCAGCTCAAAGAAAACATAGGATAGGACACAGAAAATATGCTTTCTAGAATTTCTAAAACATTGAGACAAAAATGACAAAACAAAGATACTTCGGGGCAAGCACATCTTGAAATACTAAGGTAATTTAGGAGTGCCTATTGAATCAAGTTCAATAGTGCTCTATCTTGTCTACAAATAATAAAAGCTTCTTTCCTGAACAAAGACATTTCTTTAAAACCCCAAAAAGTGTTTGTTGAATATTTCTTAGGTATGAATAAGAAAGAGAAATGAGCAGGAAGACTTTAGTACAGGCTATCTGAAGTGCTAGTACATCTCTATATCACTATTATGTAGTAAATCATAACTTTAAATCTGAGACCAAAATAAGGCAACACAAATAGCTTCACCTAAGATCCTTGCCTCCATTCAAAGCAAAACAAAAGCAAAACCAGAGCTCCTCTGGTGTGGTGGACAGAGCAGTGGTTAAAGAATGAGGTGTTCTGGTTTTATATCTTGTCCTTACCACATCTTGATCACAGGAAAGTCACTGAGAGTCTCGGGGCCTAAATTTCCAAGCTGTTAAATGATGGTGGCAATGCCCAGTTCCACATATTATTGTGATGATTAAAGTAAGAAATCATGTGTGAATGTTTCTAGAATAAAGTACTTATAAATTCCTGTTGATTCTAAATCTGACATCCTGTCAATCTTCTCTCTAAAGTATCATTTGTATTGTGACATTGTATACTTAGCAGAGAGAAAAATAAGTTTCCTTTCTTCTAAATGATAAGAAAATGTAATATAAAACCAAAACAATAAATCCTTTAGTGGCAAAAAACTGCATTTGATAATACTGTGAAACTTGGATTTAGTCCTGGTTTCCCAATAACTGACAAAGGAAACTTAACCTATTTAGGCCTTTGCTCTTTTGTAAACAAGATTAAAAGAGATGAGCTTGGTGGTTCCCTTGAGTTTCAAATTTTTACAATTTATGTTGACCAATGCTCCTTTTCATGCAGTCATCTGTACAACAGATTCTGTGAGCTGCCTCCAGTGCCCAACATTGCTTTGGGTGTTAGAGATAGTTTTTAACACAAACTTCCTGATCCTTGCCCTCGGGGAGTACAGTCTACTACATAATAAAAAAGTAAGTATAAAACTACATTATTTATACATTGTGATCCATACTATGGGGAAAATTATCAGGACATGAAAAGGATAGTAAGTGGAAGGAACTACTATAGTACTAGGTTACACACAACTGTAAGAAATATGCCTTAAGTAAAAGCCAATTTTTATTTCTTATTTATTTACTTATTTTAATATATATTTTTACTTATTCTAATTAGTTATACATGACCATAGGATGCAGTTTTCACACATCATACACAAATGGAGTATAACTTCTCATTCATCTGGTTGTACATGATATAAACTTTACTTCTTATTTAAAGCTTAAATGTGCAAAAACTGTGAAAGAATGCCTTCTCTATCTCCCACATTTAAGGAGAAAAATTAAAGTACTGTAAATAAAAGTTATCTGAAATGAGAATATAAAAACATGCAAATTACTTGCATAATTTCTGCCATTATAAATGTACTATTACTTTTCTGTATGGATGTAATAAGCAAATGAACCTCAGAGATGTGACCTCCACTGCTTGAGATTGAGTCTTTGGATGGGTTTGTTAATAGGCTGACTCATGGCTGGAGCTGAGAGCCTTACTTGGTGATGACTGAGCACGCAATGAGTAGGCTTGCAACCAAATCCAACCCCACCTCTGACATTGCATGGGATATACTTATAGTTTAAAAAAAAAGTTATTTGTTGTTTATCTGAAATTCCAACTTAATCTGGCATTATATATATTTTAAGTGTTACATCTAGCAACCTGACACTTAAGCCTATCATCCCTACCCTCAGAGCATTTAGGAGCCAATGGCCTAGGACTTTGTCTCAATGTTCATTTAGTGGTGAGCATCTTTAGGATGGTTGGAGCAGTGTCAACAGGCCTTGAGGAATTCTGAGAAGCCCTAAATGTTTTGGCAGCTTCCCTGGCCCCCTTGTGGCCCCCTGCTAATTATTGCAGGACTAACTGAGCCGGATCTCTCTGGAATCCACTTCGACTTTCCCAGGAAGAGATGGATTTACCAGGAAGCATGTAGGCTTAAACATCAGAACTCCATATTCTTAGCTACATTATGGAATTTGATTTTAACTTTTCCTTTTCATATCTCTCTCATCAGTACCCTAGTATCCCATATGTCATTATAAATGCTGAATCAAGTGGGATGATAAACCAATATATATTAAATTGGTTTGAAAAGGATACAGCACTATTCTGAAGGACAATGATAATAAATCATTGATAATAAAATGTGTCACCTTATCCCTTCCCTCTCTGTGTTATTAAAATGTTAGTTATGTGAAAACTTTTTTCCTCCATGAAATTTCTTTGAAAATTTCGAGGAAGGAAAACAAATGAATTTGAATTTCAAAAAAATCAATATTTTTAAACCTATAACCATACCCAAATCTGTTCCTATATCTATATCCATCCATTTTCATTGTAGAAAAGTGAGGGGAAACAACTATAAAGGAGAAAATAAAAGTCATCATTACTTAGAGATGATCACTTTACAAAATTAGAATTGACAGTATCAGCCTTTCACAAAAAGTCAGAGGTTCACAATCTCATATTCTTGGGAGAGCATTCCAACATACATGGAGTTACCTGATCAAAGGACAGGTTTGTTTTATAGTTATTGCTATTATTGCCAATGTTTTGGCAATAATTAAACTATTTACATTCACCAGTGGGTAATATCATGCCTGTTTCTTGGTAAGCATTTTGCCATTGAGGATTAGCACTTTAAAATTTTTTTCCCATACAGATAGGTAAAAATAATATCTTTGTTTCCATGATTGTGATTTTGCTCTCAAACAAGCTTCAATAATATTTACTCAAGAAAGAAGCTCTGAGCTTAGACTATAGTAGCTGTGCTAGGCACAAGAGATACAAAGAATTATAAAATACAGTCTTCAAGGAGTTCAGAGTTTGTTGAAGGATCCAAGCAGAAATTAACTATCATATTTTCTTCTCACCTTAAATATTCTAACTGCTTGATCAATAATGAAAACACAAATCCCCAAATCAACCAACCAAATATACTTTACTTTTTAAAAAACCCTATATATAATCAATTTTTTTCTACCCACAACTAATCCTTACCTATTTCTATATCTATAACCATATTCATTGTATAAAAACAAGTGTAAAGGAGGAAAAAACATTATTATTCATATTATTTCTAAAAGTTCAATTGTTAAAAACCATTAATTGACTATCTACTATGTGCTTACTACATCCTTAGAAAATAGATGGAATGAGAAATAAAAGATGCTGCTAGAAAATCCCTGGACAATCCTTCTTTAGATGGTGAGAGGAGGTGGCTCAGCTACTTGTCACATGACAAAAGTTCTCTTATATTGGAACACATGGAATGAGTAATCTGTCACCAGCAGAGCATGGTACAGCAAGTCTGGCTGTTCCAGTGCATTAAATTATTAAGTTTTAACAAAAGAGATCAAAGGCATGGGATGTTCAGTTTATATCTGTCACTAGATTATGAGAATTCTTCAATATTGTTCTCCTTATAAACATGTGTTAAAGAGAAGAAAGACCTCTGGTTGATCCCAAAGAAAGAGAAACAGTTATAACTGGATGTCCTCCCTATTAAACCATGGGAATAAATTAGAGACCAGGTTGTGTTCACAAAGCCATTTTGTAACCTCTCCTAAGATAAGATAAAGGATGTTTTCAGTATGTTAAAAAATCAGTACAAATAGTATCTGGTTATTATTTAATGTTACTGCAGATAGAAAATAAAGGGAAACTGTTAAAAATCCCTTCCAGTGGATGTTTCTGTCCTAGAGTTCTGACTCTTTGACTCACTGCCTTATAAAAAAAAAAAGACAAAAAAAAAAAAAGACGTATGAATACATTTGGAGTCTCTCAAGGGGAAGGAGATAAATTTTCCCTGATCATTGTTAAAAACAATTCTCTTAAACAAAGACCTAGCTGAGTATCACAAGTTTCCCATGTTCAACCTCATACCCCTCCAAAAATGACTTCCCATTTCTCAATTCCTTGTGTCTGCTTGGTCTTCCTTGCTTAAATCACTGGTGTCTGCCCCGGCTCTCTCCCCCTCACTCTCCATTCTCTCAGTTCCTGGACAGTGGTAAGGTCTTTGCCCGCTAGTATCTTTCCGTAAGCATTGTCTCCACAGTGCTTTCTCCTTTTCCAGAGATTAGCTTCCTTACATGAGCTTTTCTAAATCCCTCTGACTAGGTCGAGTCTTTAGTAACAACACTGAGCAGACCCTACACTTTCCTTCCACAGTACCTTCCTTATAGCAATATATATGTATTTATGTAAAATGTTTGTCTTCTATGCTTCATCAGGTCAACAGGACCAAGTGGTCCTATTCATTGTCCTCCAATACCAAGCATCTGCTTTGCACATGATAAACACTCAAGTACTGAGTGAATGAGAAAATAAATAAAGGAATGTCAGTTTTATTTAAGAAAAGACTGATACTTATTAATTCCCTAACAAAAGTGAGGTTCACAAGCCCTCAAGGGGTTTCTCCCTATTTGTTGGAATAAAACATCAACAAAAACGTCACCTCTAGTTTTATGTCCAATGCTTGGTAGTGAGACATTATGAAATGTCCTCTTTATTAAATAATTCTAAATCACTTGGATTTGATCTGTAGCCACTTAGGAATAATGTAAGTTGGAATGTCTAAGAAACTGAAAGTTAAATACAGGGAAATGTCCTCTCCTTTTGGTCTATAAATGTCCCCTAACCCTCCCATGTTGTATTTTAAGAGATAAGCCAGCTGTGGCATGTCTAGCAGAGAGTGACCACTTATTCAATGCAAGGAGCCAAAACCACATCCACGAATGCTATTTCATAGATATGACTTGGACTATGTTATATTCAAAGTTTCTTTAAAAAAAAACTTTAAAAATGTGTGCATAGCACAATGTTTAATTAAATCTTCAATCCATCTCTGTTTTGTTGGCATTTGTTAAGTGCATCATTTACATCTGGAGTTATATAAATTTTTAACAATGATTATATTTACATAAAGAAACACTTAGATTTCAAAATATAAACTTACTGGTAGTCTAGAAGCGCTTCACTGATGGGCAGTTTGGCTTCCCTTTGTGGCACATCTTGCATATCCTTTTTATTTGCTTTCCCTGTGCTTTCCATTGTTCTGGTTAGTTATTAAGGTACATATCTGTTTAGCAAAGAGATATACAAAAAATGAATAAATTCCCCCTTCGCTCCTCCACTTGTATTGATGCTAGATAAGGCACTGCTGGGACTTCATTTTAAACTGGCTTTGCCATCCTAACTGTTCCTTGTCCCCAGATTTCACATCAACCACAAGACAGGTTGAATCATCAATCATCATGAATCAATTGGATTCTTGAGCCTGGTGAGTTCCATGTGTAGCCCAGTACAGCAACCTACCATGCATGATCCAAAACTTTCTAAGAGATTTGTTAGCTATCTACATCTATTGCTCCTATCAGCAGATTGATCAGTCTCTTACATATGATTTACGAAGGGCTGAATTTTTTAAATCATTTAAGAGCAAAGAACTGAATTTATAAAAATAATTTTATTTCTCCAAAGTGTTTGGCAGAGTGCACTGTACATAGCAGCAGCTTAGTAAATATCTATTAATTTTTTAAAAATTAAAAAAAAAACCATAATTTTTTATGAGCACCAAGAAACTAGGATTCTGAAGAATTAGAACTAGGATCCCAAAGAATTAGGTTTGTCCAGGATTGTTAGAAAGAGCAAGTAAAAACATACATTGAAGTGTGTTTTATGTGGTTAAGATATTCACAGATGCAAATAATAATGTTGTATCACTAAAAATAACTTTTAATAAGATAGTAATTGCTTTTATACTTTAATAAAAATCAGCAAGAATAATATTTTTTAAAAAAGAAAAATCAAGACCCAATGTTCACTAGTGTTTTTATTAAGCAAGTATACATCATGGTTTTGGTTCAGATACTAAAGTACAGAGTACAGCTTTCCTTAACAGGTTTTTATATTTTAATTTCTATTATTCTCCTAAGATTAAGAACCTAAACTGCAATCAATGTTCAGTAGTTTGGTGTGGTAGAAAGCACATGACCTTTGTAATTATTTGTTTAAATGGTTGTAAATTAATGAGCATGAGGAAGATGTAATAATTGTGCATTTCTGTATTTCTCCACTAACCACACAAACGTATCCCTGTCAAATGAATACCAGAGTTAATGGATAAATGAATCAGGCAGAAGTATTTTAATCCTAGGCCCCCTCCTATTATCCTTGTGACCTTGAGATAATTACTTAATGTTTTTGAACTTCAGGTTCATCATCTGTAAAATGAGATAGCTATCATATTCTAAGAGCTACTGTAAGGATTAAAATAGGCTAATATTTAAAGCACCTGGTATAGTGTTTCACCAACAGAAAGAACTTCATAAGGATTATGCCCTTTTGTCTTTCTCTTCAGTTAACAGCTACAGATCATCCTTCGAATTCCAAATAACTGTAAATCAGAGGATGTCTGCCTGCTGCCAAGTACAATGATTTGTGGAAAGACTAATTCATGAGGTTTGCCATTGTCAGCCTTTGATTTGAATCAACCAATTGGCAATCTGCAAAGACCATTCAGACCCACTGTGGAAAAACTTGCTGAAATGAAAACACAATTTTGTCTATAGACATATTGCTCATGTACCCAGACCTCTAGTGAGGCTATCTTGGTGTCTGAGATTTTTCTAGCCAAGTGTATACATGAATGCAAATATACTACAATATTTTCCAAGTGAAGAGTACACAGGTAACAGAAAAAAGATTTAATACAAAAAAGATTTAAAGTATTAAAACAGTGTCTTCTCAAATGTGGAAGTATCAAGAATAATTCAATAAGCTCCATACCAAAATGTATCATCATTATACGAGCACAGTTCACAGCAAATTATCAGCTAAGGAAAATTTGTTCTCTTTTATTCCAGATACAGAGTTGTGTTTTTATACTATTTTCTATTTTAGAATTGAAATTTTTATCTTGACTGTTACACAAGAAGATAGCATGCTGACAAAGGTTTCATTTTAAAACAAGAACTTACTATTTAATGTTTAGTTTTATTAAAAAATATTTTATTTAAAACTTAAAGCAACCATCAAAAGACTACCAACTAAGAAAAGCCCAGGACCGGATGGGTATACAGCAGAGTTTTACAAAACCTTTAAAGAGGAACTAATACCAATACTTTTCAAGCTACTTCAGGAAATAGAAAAAGAGGGAGAACTTCCAAATTCATTCTACGAGGCCAACATCACCCTGATACCTAAACCAGACAAAGACACTTCAAAGAAAGAAAACTACAGACCAATATCTCTAATGAACCTAGATGCAAAAATCCTCAATAAAATTCTGGCGAATCGGATACAAAAACATATCAAAAAAATTGTGCACCATGATCAAGTAGGATTCATCCCTGGGATGCAAAGCTGGTTCAATATACGGAAATCAATAAATGTTATTCACCACATCAATAGACTTAAAAATAAGAACCATATGATCATCTCGATAGATGCGGAAAAAGCATTCGACAAAGTACAGCATCCCTTTATGTTCAAAACTCTAGAAAAACTAGGGATAACAGGAACATACCTAAATATTATAAAAGCAATCTATGCTAAGCCTCAGGCTAGCATCATTCTGAATGGAGAAAAATTGAAGGCATTCCCTCTAAAATCTGGAACAAGACAGGGATGCCCTCTCTCACCACTTCTCTTCAACATAGTTCTCGAAACACTGGCCAGAGCAATTAGACAGACGAAAGAAATTAAAGGCATAAAAATAGGAAAAGAAGAACTTAAATTATCACTATTTGCAGATGACATGATTCTATACATAGCAGACCCAAAAGGGTCTACAAAGAAACTATTAGAGCTAATAAATGAATTCAGCAAAGTGGCAGGATATAAAATCAACACGCATAAATCAAAGGCATTCCTGTATATCAGCGACAAATCCTCTGAAATGGAAATGAGGACAACCACTCCATTCACAATATCTTCAAAAAAAATAAAATACTTGGGAATCAACCTAACAAAAGAGGTGAAAGACTTATACAATGAAAACTACAGAACCCTAAAGAGAGAAATAGAAGAAGATCTTAGAAGATGGAAAAATATACCCTGTTCATGGATAGGCAGAACTAACATCATCAAAATGGTGATATTACCAAAAGTTCTCTATAGGTTTAATGCAATGCCAATCAAAATCCCAACGGCATTTCTTGTAGAAATAGAGAAAGCAATCATGAAATTCATATGGAAAAATAAACGACCCAGAATAGCAAAAACAATGCTAAGCAGGAAGTGTGAATCAGGCGGTATAGCGATACCAGACTTCAAACTATACTACAGAGCAATAGTAACAAAAACAGCATGGTACTGGTACCAAAACAGGCGGGTGGACCAATGGTACAGAATAGAGTTCACAGAAACCAATCCACAAAACTACAACTATCTTATATTTGATAAAGGGGCTAAAAGCATGCAATGGAGGAAGGATAGCATCTTCAACAAATGGTGCTGGGAAAACTGGAAATCCATATGCAACAAAATGAAACTGAATCCCTTTCTCTCGCCATGCACAAAAGTGAATTCAAAATGGATCAAGGAGCTTGATATCAAATCAGAGACACGCCATCTGATAGAAGAAAAAGTTGGCTACGATCTACATACTGTGGGGTCGGGCTCCAAATTCCTCAATAGGACACCCATAGCACAAAAGTTAATAACTAGAATCAACAAATGGGACTTACTCAAACTAAAAAGTTTTTTCTCAGCAAAAGAAACAATAAGAGAGGTAAATAGAGAGCCTACATCCTGGGAACAAATCTTTACTCCTCACACTTCAGATAGAGCCCTAATATCCAGAGTATACAAAGAACTCAAAAAATTAGACAATAAGAGAACAAACAACCCAATCAACAAATGGGCCAAGGACCTGAACAGACACTTCTCAGAGGAGGACATACAATCAATCAACAAGTACATGCAAAAATGCTCACCATCTCTAGCAGTCAGAGAAATGCAAATCAAAACCACCCTAAGATACCATCTCACTCCAGTAAGACTGGCAGCCATTATGAAGTCAAACTAACAACAAGTGCTGGCAAGGATGTGGGGAAAAGGGTACACTTGTACATTGCTGGTGGGACTGCAAATTGGTGCAGCCAATTTGGAAAGCAGTATGGAGATTTCTTGGAAAGCTGGGAATGGAACCACCATTTGACCCAGCTATTCCCCTTCTCGGTCTATTCCCTAAAGACCTAAAAAGAGCATGCTACAGGGACACTGCTACATCGATGTTCATAGCAGCACAATTCACAATAGCAAGACTGTGGAACCAACCTAGATGCCCTTCAATGGATGAATGGATAAAAAAAATGTGGCATTTATACACAATGGAGTATTACTCTGCATTAAAAAATGACAAAATCATAGAATTTAAGGGAAATGGATGGCATTAGAGCAGATTATGCTAAGTGAATCTAGCCAATCCCTAAAAAACAAATGCCAAATGTCTTCTTTGATATAAGGAGAGTAACTAAGAACAGAGTAGGGTCGAAGAGCATGAGAAGAAGATTAACATTAAACAGGGATGAGAGGTGGGAGGGAAAGGGAGAGAGAAGGGAAATTGCATGGTAATGGAAGGAGACCCTCAGAGTTATACAAAAAATACATACAAGAGGAAGTGAGGGGAAAGGGAAAAATAATACAAGGGGGACAAATGAATGTCAGTAGAGGGGGCAGAGAGAGAAGAGGGGAGGGGAGGGGAGGGGAGGGGGGATAGTAGAGGATAGGAAAGGCAGCAGAACACAACAGACACTAGTATGGCAATATGTAAATCAATGGATGTGTAACTGATGTGATTCTGCAATCTGTATATGGGGTAAAAATGGGAGCTCATAACCCACTTGAATCAAAGTATGAAATATGATATATCAAGAACTATGTAATGTTTTGAACAACCAACAATAAAAAATTAAAAAAAAATAAAAAAAATAAAACTTAAAGCAAAGGTCAACATTTAATATCTTTCTGAATCATATAGAAGAGACCAAATGTTGTAGTCTCTACCTGTGGTACCCATCTGGGGCTGGAGGAGAAATGACCATCTTGTTCAATTACTTCAGTTACCTGGCCCATA